GGCTCCGAGCACCATACAACATCAACTGTTTAAGCCAAAAGGCAAAAGTAAAGACCTGAGTAGCTTAAAAGGAAATCTATGCAGAAAATACACCTGAGTGCAGGCAAATGACTCTGAAAGCTTTCTAAACCTGGGGTTTCAAAAGTTTTTATAAAATGTTTCTCAATTTTCACCCCATGCTCCAAACTCAAAATAAATCGTACATGTTGAGCTATTATAGTTGATTCTTCTCTCTTCAAAATTTTTTTAAAAGAGTACCTAGAAGCTGAACTGATAAAAAGCCTACTACCTAATCACATGATTCAATGTACATCAGCACAAATCTAAACCTTTGGGATATTAAACCTGAAGAAGACTTGGTTTCCATTTTTCAGGGTGTCTAGCCTGCCTTTCTCTTTCTAGGCATCAGGATTCTATTATCATTTAAATAAACCTGACATCGTTTGGTTAGTATATAATTATAGGATATAGTTTTCTATATAGTATACAATAAAATTACGGGACACACTAAAAAAGGAGACTCAAATTCATTTCTAGCGTTCTATTACTTGGTAAGTCCCCTTTATTTCTTTTCTCATTCTAAGCTGCATCCCTCCTCCATTGTTAATTTTCTATTCAAAGCTATCCTTTAATTATGCGGTCGTGGCCCCAAATACACTAACATGTTCTAAGTTTTTTTTTTTCCCCCTGTGGCACCTTGGACTCAGTCATCGGGGGTAGCTTAAGACAAAAGAGCAATGAAATTTTCTGTAATGCTTGTTGATAAAGACACTGTCCCCTGAATCCTCCTTGACGTCCCACTGAAGAATATTTTTTCAAAACTAGATGCCTCAAAAGCCAAGAGACTGGTATGTTTTTCCCCAAAGGAAAATGTGCAATGGGATTATTTCAATCACCACATCATCCTCATTTCTACGAAGTAGAGTAAGAACTGTTACAGGGAAGGTTTTTGAGGTGTGCTAAGCATGCCACTGGGTTTAGACGCGCAAGTTTAGTTTTAGGAGCTGGGACAAAACCATATTGCTCCCTATTTGTTTTAATGAGGAGAGAAAAGGGGACCCAGGAATAAAGGAAAGCAGCTAGGGAATCTGGGTGGAGCCTGAGGGAAGAGTCAAAGACAGGAACCTCCAATTTTAGCAAACTAAGAAGACCATTTGCAGACCACAGTGTTTAACAGGAATGTTTAAGTGCTTGATGTGGGATATGCAAAGTTCACCCCTCTACCTCCCACTCAGTAAAGTCTACACTGCCTGCTCACTCTTCTGTGAAAGTGGATTCCATTAGAGAACGTCACTAGGAGCTGACATCCGTGATTCTGGACTGGCCTTGGGCAATGAAGGAGAAGGGTGTGCACGTGCAGGAGACTGCAGGGACAGCTGGCGTCTGCGTCATCCAAAGAAAGTCAAGGCTGTGAGAGTCAGAGAGACCCAGATTAAATCCCACAGAGGCATGTGCTGCCTGTGTAGCCAGTGGCCGGTAACTGAATCCTTCTTATCCTGCATTTTTTCCACCAGAAAATGAAGGTGACAATAGGTGGCTTTGAGGTTCCTGTAAGCGTTAGGGCTAAAATGCATTAAATGCTCACGATATGGAAGTTATCCTTTAGAAGATTTTTTTCCACTTTTGTTTTAGCTGTTAAAAACCTTGAGCCAAGTCTGACTCAAAAAAAATGTTTAAAATATATGGCCTTCATATTTGTGTTGTTCTTTTTCCTCCTGAGTCTCAAACCAATGTATATTCTCTCTATTCTGAATTATCTGGACATTATTTATATCTACCGTATTGCATGACAACATGCATCAACATGCTTGTAAAAGGTGGTGCTACAAAACAGATTTCTTCTGTTTACGATGCTCCCCGTTTCCCCATTCTGAATGTCAAGACATGATGGAGTTGGCACATTTTCCTCCATTTTGGATGTGCTGCTGCCATGCTGAGAGTTGCCTAACAAATGAAGTGACCCGGGCACTGATCAATACTGGCCTCATCCCCTTTGTCATCCAAAGCTGGCTCCCACCTCACGTTAATAGTGGCATCAGTGTCTGTTGGTCTTGTCTTCTTTGTCATTATGTCATCACCAGCTAAGCTGACTAGACCGACCATCATATTCATGCCAAAAAGTGCATCCCAGTAGTCTGCCCAGCCCGTAGAAGGCAAGACAAGAAACAAGCAAGGGACACATCACATCCTCTTTTGATACCTGAGGGAAGCAAAGTCCAAAGATGCTGGTGACGAGTCCAGAGGCATCAATATAAAGCTGGAGTGAAAACCAGGCCAACCACTTTCCTGCACCCTGTACACTAGAGAATGCAGACTGATTAGTCAAGCAATCTATTATTGCTTGCTGGTACCTCAAAGCATGGGCATATTTACTCTATCCTGTCTAAGACAACAAAAGAACACCTTTTAGGTAATCGCTTCTACTGGCGGAGCTTAAGCATGGACCAGGACGTCCACCCAGAGAGGAGTGGTGCTTCATGAGCCTCCTCTCCACATTTGGGTTCTATTAGGAGGCCCTGAAAGCACTGAAACCTCAATAGCATCACTGTAATGGAAAAGTATCTCCAAGTTTCCGACATGAAGCTTAATGAAGTTTTAATTTTACTAGAAGAAAAACAAAACTTTAAAGTCAATCTCAGATGCTTCAGAGTCTTTACCAATATGTCACTCACTTCCTTTCCACTGCTAAGTTTTAAAGATACTCCGTACTTCGTGGTATCTCTGTGGATCATCTTTGTGGATCTAGATTTCTAAACTTTCCAGGAGTGATTTTTTGTTTATTTGTTTTTACTTTTGTATTGTCTTAGCAAAGAGTAAAGTGTGTAATATATCAGTTGTTATACTTGAGAATATGAAGCCTGCAAGAAAAATATGTGAGGTTTCCTTTGTCCCAATGGCTAAGTGAAAATCATTAGCTCTCCAGTTTCCCAAAAGGTAGCTGCTTATAGAATAATATTTGTACCTATGCTGAGAGAAAGAGGATTGCTCTTCTCTCAGCATAGGTACAAACATTATTCTTGTTAATAGATTGCTACACTAACAAGAGTTTCAGAACAGCTAATCATTGACAAGTGGAGCAGGCAGGAACCTTAGCTCATTTCAGGGCCCAACTACCTGTTTCTTAATGCTGTCTTCGCAGAGATCCTTTACAACTGCAGCAAGACAAAGTACCTCTAGCTTTTACCGAAAGTGCTTAGAAACATAGAAGAGAAATTTTGCAAAAGGCTTACAAGATTGACTAGACATGAAACTAGCAAGCAAAAGACAAAGTATTATTTCCCAAGTACTGGTTTGTATTAACAACAAAACAACAACACTCCTAAAAAGAAAGAAAAAAAGCAACAACCTTAATTTAGCAACAATCTTAACTTATATAAAGGAATTGAGTCAATAGCCTGAGAAAAAATTCTGCATAATGTGGATAATTAATTACATCCCCTAGACAAACCCTCTTTTATATCACACTTCTCTGTCAGTCTATGACCACAGGCAATAACTACAGTGACACTGGACGCTGTGCAGGTCATCTGCAGCATCACATCCAAGGAGACAACACAACCACCCAGCTCGCTATTGCAGGAAGAACCACAATTTCATCCATCAAGAAGTGCACCAGTTTTGTTCTTTTTCCTGTCTCCTATCCCCTCAGGTTTAAATAATCTCTTTTGTTACCATTGTTATAAATTATCAGTAACAAAAGCTTTGCAACTTCAACACCAATACAAACCAACATCCCACTGCCAGCGTCTTGGCAGGCTGCCATGCGTGCTATTTTAAAGTTAGGCGTTAGGAGGCAGCAAATGGCTCAGAAACACAGGCAAAGATAAATGTAGGAAGTTGGAAAAGAGACCAAAAGCTTGGAAAACAGACTTCATCTTAAATACAAACTTCCAGGAATTTATATTTGATGTGTGGAATAGTTAGAAGGGAAAGCGTTTGGCCCTCGAAGAGACCTTTGTGAAATAATCTGAATCCTGTTCCCCAATTCAGCATCTCTATAAATGCTGACTGTTATCTTAAGGGTTAAACAACATAGGACTTGGTTTTAATTAATCTTGTTTTTTTCTTGGCTCCAGAAACAAGATCTCATGTTTGCCTACATGAAATTCTCTGGATCTGCTTGCTTTAGCAGTGCCAGCCCTAATGCAAATACTGTTCAGGCTATTTCAGTGATATCAGAACTGATTCTCCCCCACATTGCTTAATTCTAAGGCATTTATATATTTAAAACATGCACTGTAGTTACTCAGAAATGCAAATGCTGCATTTATGTTTTAAAAAATACTTGTGGCATGTACTCTAATCCAAAGGATCATGTCTTCAGATAGCATACGTCTGTCTTATTTTTAGGAAGCTAAAAATGAACTTTTCACTTTCCCAAATGAGAAAATATCTCTAATCAAAGCTTTTTTATTTTAATTATAATGCTTGATTAAATTATAAGAAATGTCACTTAAACTGCATTAAAAATGGATTGGTTTATAATGTCAGAACAACTCTTGCCTCTCTCTGGATATTCATTTTGAAGAAATAAGCTCACATAATTTATATGAGAATTTCATTTCAAGCATAAATAGAAAGGTCCTTAGGAAACATTATTATTATGAATTAAAACTATCAGTGTGTGAGGAAGATTGTGTGGTGTATAAAACAAGAAAACTTAGCATTTCCAAAGACAGTCCCCTGCAATTTTTGCATTGTTTCTTAAACTGTTGTACTAACAATGCACACATTATATGGCACAAATACTTAGTAATTACAGAATATACCGGGTAAATTTAGCAGTGGTGAATAATACATTCATTATCACAATAGTAACTGTGTGAGATAAAGAGTTAAATCAAACCAAAGGTAATTCACACCAAATAATGCAAAGGTTGCACAAAACCCATTTTCCTTCAAGGCATGCATCATGATTTCAAACTCCTCCAGTAATCAAATTTCAGCTCTGTTACAATTAACTAGTAACAGTAATTGAAAAAAAATCACACATTACTTACTGTTTTTCATATGTGTATGCCATCCTTCCAAATTCAAAGGGGTGAAGAAGAATCACAACCATGAGGAAATCTAGCAGGCAAAAGGAGGGAAAATAGGAAGTATTAGTTGTCTAAAAATTGGCATCTTCAGGTTTTCTTGAGCTACTTCCCGCAAGATCCCAAAGCAAAGAAGAAAAAGAAAAAGTTGGAGAAAAACATCACACACATCACAAGCCGACTTTCTCCACAAACCCATGCCGCTCCAAACTTTAAAGGCTCAAATTGTTGAGCATCCTGACTGAGCAAATATCCGACTTCGGTATCACTGGTTACGTACGCATTTTCAATAAGATGAATGCATCTCCAAAATTAGGGTGACTAATGTATGATGCAGATATCCCCCGTTTCTTTCCCCTTCTCCTTTTTTCATTCACATTTTTCTTCCTACAAAATGCACATAGGTCTGTTCTTCCTTGTACCCCGAGTCAGGCCTGGCTTTGAAATGCATTTCAATCTCTCAACACAGACTGCTTTCATTGCGTTTAGAGTCCCACTAAGGCCCAGCTTTAAAAGCTACTGATTCTTTTTTTCTTTAGCCTTCCTCACAAAGGAAGGGTATTTTGTAAATTACCAGCTCGTTCAGATCAACAAAAGGTACTTTCATAGAAAGCCCCATTTGATTTTGCTCAAATTTGATTACTAGGATGGAGAAAAGGAAAGGAAGTCAAAAAGAAAAACCCCAGATGGCTTTTTCATTCATCTCAGTGAATGAGCTTTATCTGTGCCTTTTGAAACTGTAGCAGTGGAAAAGCATTTCTGTTGGCTTAAAAAACTTGACAAAAATTATTGGTTTGCCATTTCTCATGTAACAGCCATTGGGAACTGGATGAAAAGACTTTTTCATGGGATCGCCTGCTTGGATCAAAATAATGGAGATTAGGTATTTCATTATAAATTACAGTGGGAGATAGAGCAGGCTGTCATATTAATAGCAACCTGCTCATGGCCTTCAATGGTAGCTATTCTCCTAGACAAAGGACCAAGGGGGTTGTCTATTGAACTTGTACTTTAGGCCTGATCAATTTTCTATCATCAAGGCAAAAGGTGAGATGACTAACAAAGGAATTCACACATGAGTGACCTCATAAGCCTACAGATAAAACAGCTTAAAGAAGCAAAATACATCCTGAAATTATGGATGATAAACTACATAAAGAAGAGAGTATGAGAATGAGAGAGGAAGGAGCAATGGTCTGTAATTCTCCTCCCTCTTCTTGGCCAAATGGACACATTAAAAGCTACTTGTTTTCAGCTGCAGATAATTGCAACATTTGGTTTGCAGTGGTCTGCTATAAATCCTTCAGCCTACTTTTTTTTCCTCAGCACAGTTCCAGTCATTTCATTCGCTACTAACAACAGTATTGTGTTCAAGACAAAGCTTCTACCAACAGTCGCGCTTAAAAATAAAAATAAAAGGAATCATAAGCAACACAGGCTCACGGATAGTTCACAGTAAGTGTGCATTGGTTATTTGCTCCAGGTTACCAGCCTCTTGCCTGATTTAACATACTTCTTAGAATGTAAAGCAATTCAAAATCCAAGCAGTACCTGCACAGACACAGAACCTTAATGAAGCACAGTGAAATGTATGATTCAATAAAGATTCTTTCGGAAAACAGTGATGACAAAGTCCTAATACAAAGTGCCAGTGAAGGATGAGCGATTAATTTTCATACAATCACAAGGAATATTTTCTATTCCTCATTGAAGTTGTCTGAATAACTGTAGAAATTACCAAAATCCTTTTCCCTGTGATATTTCCATGGAATTTTTTTTCAACTTTTCTATTAAAAATCCTGGGGGATTTATGCCTTATAATGTCAGTGTTCACTGGGAGTAGTAAAGAAATTATCTTCAAAAGATAAAAAACCAGGGTTACCAAAAGTTGCTAGTACCTAGAAATGCAGATGCAGTGTAACATTTTATGTACATTCTATAACGCTAATGCAAGGGAAAAAAATAAATAGTATTTTTACAATACTGTTTTTTAAGCCAAAGAGTAGTATAAGTTCATTAATATGAAATTACTTCCAACTGCCTAAAAGCTTGAGAAAATACCATAAATAGCACCCACGATGGCAGTTGTCAAAACAAGGCTACATTTTGAAAGCCACCCTCCACAGGTGTAATGACCTTCAGATGACACAATCAGGCTTAGTATACCCTCATGGTAGCAATTTCTCACATCTAGTGATGATGAGATAAGGAAGCTCATTTACGTATGGACCAATAAAACAAGGATGTGGTACTATCTGAAGCACATATACAAATGACTCCACATTTGTATAAAGTTGGATTTTCTATGTTCTTAAGGGAGCCATGGAACCTTGGACTATCTTAACCATTCAGGGAGATCCTAAATTCAGGGTTATGAAAGAGGAATTAAATAACAGTGGTGGGAGTCAGTAGACAGGCAGGCTCTTCCCACTACTGCTGTGAACATGGACTGGTAGGAACATTCTGGAGGGCAACTGGACAACATTCCTTTAAGTCTGAAAGTTTTCACAGCTCTTGACCTAGATATTTCACCTCTAGGAATCTTCCCAGTAGAAACTATCAGAAATGCAGATAAAGATTTTTTCCTCCCAAGAAGATACTTATCATACCGTGAGTCAGGTAGGATAGTGGTTAAGATTACAAATTGGAGAGCCAGAATAGCTGAATAACAATTACAACTTGACCAACTTCCAATCACAAAGTGTCTTTAGTTATTAACCTCTCTATGCCTCAGTCTTCCTGTCTGCAAAATGGGGATCTCAAAAGTGGTATGACAATTAAATGAAGAGTGAATATACGTAAAGCATTAAACCACCAACTAGTCCATAGTAAGTACTGAATAATTATTAGATATTGCTATTATTATAAACACTCTAAACCTAGATAATTATTAACTGAATCATGATAAACAAATATAATAAAATTTAATATGTCCATTAAAGATCGTGCCTTCAAATTATTCTTAATGACACAGAGAAATAGTCATACTAGTTTAAAAAAACAGGACATAAAACCATATATTATGCCATCTCAAATATGTGTATATGTGTGTGTGTGTGTGTGTGTGTGTGTGTTTAAAACGGCAATAGTATTTCTTTTTGGATAAAGTGCTTTCAAATGGTTTTTATTTTCCTGTTGTAGTTTTTAATTTTCATAAAACATTTTAAAGTATTTTTAAACTCTTATTTTTACAACAGTTTACGAAGAAGGAGTTGCAGTAGGTGCACCATTTCCTAACACTGTGCGCTGTTTGTTTTCCCCATATAGCACTGTAGGCTACACACACAGTGTTATCAGATAGAGGTAGGCCAGGTTACAGGGAAAGTCAGAATCTATGCCAAAATTCACTTTGGTGCTCAGCACTAAGATCTGGAAATTAGCTGTACTTCCAGAACTGAGAAGTAAGCTTAAACTCTAAAATTTAAAGAAGGAAAATCCAAATATATTGGATTCATAAAATTTCCTGACCTAAGAAGCTGTCAGCATATGGGTTACTAAAGGCATTTTAGCAATGAAGAATCCAGAAAAATGACTCAGGAATGAACCTGGAAAGACACATACATACCAACATGTATAGGTTAGAAAAATCAGTGCAACCAAGAGTTAGCTTTTTGAAAAGACAGGTGTAAAAATCAACAAATACAGGCTGCGTGCCACAGCAACGGCTTCAGTCCAATCAGTTAGAGGCAACATACAAAACGGACAAGTCATAAGAAATTTCAATAACAGGGTCCAAATAGTGACCTAATCAATTGCAGGAGTGCCTAAATAGAGAGACTAGGTTGCATCTAATAAAGGGACTCTCTACGTGAACTATTTTAAAAGGGGGTAGTAAGAAAGCACTGGCTGCATGTTCTTCCTTCCTCCCGACACAGGAGCTGGAACCTGGGGGCAGGAAGGGAGGTCCATGGGAGAGCAGACCCCACCCCTACTGGTTCCTCTGTCAAACCCAAGTCAGGGGGTGGCGGCAGAGTGGGGAGGAGGAGAGCCTAGAGTGTTCAATTAGGCTGCTCTAGTGTCTAGTAACTAAGTGACTGGAAAGTTATGGAATCTTCCAAGGTTATTATTAACAGTCAGGAATGCGACAGGGCATGGTTAAAAGTGGAGAAAAGAGAACTCAATTTGGATTACTCAGTACAAGAATTACATGTGTATTATGTCTGCTGAAAGAAAACGTATCAAAGCTAGACTTTTCAAGAAACTTCAATTCATAAAAAGCAAAGGTCAAGAACGTGAAAGTACCATATGATTCAGCAATTGCACTTCTGTGTATGTACCCAAAAGAACTGAAAGCAGGGATTCAAACAGGTAAGTACCTGTACATCACTGTTCATAACAGCACTCTTCACAATAGCTAAAAGGTAGGAGCAGCCCAAACGTTCACCAGTGGTATACATATAGAAGGGAATATACACATTAAAAAGTAAGGAAATTCGGACACAGCCTACAACATGCATGAACCTTGAAGATATTATTTTAATGGAATGAGCCAGCCACAAAAGGACAAATATGGTATGAGTCCACTTCTATAAGGCCCCTAGAGCCATCAGATATATAAAGACAGAAAGTAGAAGGGTGGTTTCTGGGGACTGGGGTCGGGGGAGTGAAGAGGCAGTGTTTTATGGGTACGGAGTTTCATTTAGGAAAGACGAAAAAGTTCTGCAGACGGATGGTAGTGACGGTGGCACAACAACGTGAACGTGTTTAATGCCGTAAGTTGTACATGTAAAAATGGCTAAAATGGTAAATTTTATGTTTTATATGTTTTACCACAATTCCAAAAAGGAGTATGAACATCTTGTTTCCTTAACTCTTCAATTATATTATTTTGTTATCATCCAGTATAACCTGGAAAAAAGAATTAAAGAAAAGGAAAAAAGGGAGAGGAGAAAAAATGGGAGGGGAGGGAAAGGGAGAGGATGAATAGATCAGTGATGGGGAGAGGTAGGAAGGGAGGGAAAAACAGGAGGAGCTGCTATGTGCAGTCAGCTGTGAAGTGTGTACACTTCACCCAGATACAGAGGGGCAAATAGG